AAAAAAGTTCATTATCTTCACGACTGGGCCAAAAAGCAATATCAGTAGAGATGGAGAAAAGATTGATGTTGTCAATAATTTCATTCTACATGAGGGCACATCAACACCCATGATAGTAGCAGTCAAGAAACCAAAAGACATGTTACACTGGGAAAATATGTTGTGAAAGGACTTCTCCAAAGTGCCAGAGTAATGCTGTGAGTTTAAAAACTAAGGTGTGTTTAATCTAAGCAATGATATTTTCAAATGCTTCCTATGCATCTGAAAATTGGACAGTGAAACTGTGAATTGTGGTGTCGGAGAAGAGTTCTGAATATTCCTTGGACTGCTAAAGAACAAGTCAGTCTGAGTTGGGGGAAATGTAATCAGGGTTCTCTTCAGAGGCAAGGATGGTGAAATTCTGTCTCCTTTACTTTGGGCATATTGTCAGGGGGGTATGCTTAGAAAAACAGAGAAATAGAGGAAATCCTCAACAAGATGGACTATAATCATGTGCTCAAGTATGTTGGAAATCATGAAGCTTACACAGGATAAAACAAGGTTTAGATATCTTGTTGATGGGTTTGCTATGAGTTGTAGTCAAATAGATGGCACACAATAATAACGTCAAGCGTAAGTTTCCAAAATATTTTCAAGGAATTTATGGAGTTTATCTCTATCAAATAGGAACATACTACAGCATAAAAACAACACTGCTTAATAACTATATTTGTATATGTTTTATTTTTAAAAGGGAACTCTGTTTTTCATAGGGAGTTGCACTGCAAACTTAAAGGCAGAGACTCTCTGAAGATCTGAATCCACTTCTGTGGAAGAAAGATGGGCAATCTCTTCTGGTGGTATTTACAGTCTCTCAAAAACTCGCAGGAGGTCAACTAAATTAGTTCTGACTTGATGGCAATGACTTTGTGGTTTGATGTTGCTCCTCCTTACTCCAAGTTTATTTTACAAGTACAGATAAAATATCTTCTATATATTAAGATTTTAAACATAGCCTAATTAGAAGAGGAAATCTGGGAATTGCTTTTTTATTAAAATACTATCTATTGCTATAATCAAGGATGCTTTAGGCAGAATATTCAATGATCCAGGAAGTATTAAAAGAAGATGGAAAGAATATACTGAGTCACTGTATCAAAAGGAATTGGCAGACACAGAAGAATTTCATGAAACAACATATGAGCAAGAGCCTATGGTGATGAA